TACTACTACTACTACTACTACTACTACTACTACTACTACTACTACTACTACTACTACTACTACTACTACTACTACTACTACTACTACTACTACTACGAGTACTACTACTACTACTACTACTACTACTACTACTACTACTACTACTACTACTACTACTACTACTACTACTACTACTACTACTACTACTACTACACTACTACTACTACTACTACTACTACTACTACTACTACTACTACTACTACTACACTACTACTACTACTACTACTACTACTAGTACTACTACTACTACTACTACTACTACTACTACTACTACTACTACTACTACTACTACTACTACTACTACTACTACTACTACTACTACTACTACTACTACTACTACTACTACTACTACTACTACTACTACTACTACTACTACTACACACTACTACTACTACATACTACTACTACTACTACACTACTACTACTACTACTACTACTACTACTACACACTACTACACAGTCCTCCGCATCTACTACACCTCCAAAGTACTACTACTACTACTACTACTACTACACACTACTACACTCTACTACACCTCCAAGGTACTACACACTACTACAGAGTACTACATACTACTACTACACAGTACTACACCTCCAAGGTACTACACCGTACTACACAGTACTACACACTACTACACAGTATTACACAGTACTACATGGTACTGCAGAGTACTACACATACTACACATAGTACCATAGTACAGTTGTAAAGTACACATCCTGCTCTGGCTCCAGTTTTAGTTTTTTCATGTTTCTGTTTTGTGTTTCAGCCGGTTTTGTTCGTCATGTGCGCCGGAAACGAACTTTTCTTCTGCCTCCTCTACATCCTGCACCACGTCCAGGAGCCTGCAGGTAAAACCCAGGGAAAACACGACACACAAAACCAGGTAAAACCCAGGGAAAACACGACACACAAAACACACCTGCAGGTAAAACCCAGGGAAAACACGACACACAAAACCATGAGCCTGCAGGTAAAACCCAGGGAAAACACGACACACAAAACCATGAGCCTGCAGGTAAAACCCAGGGAAAACACGACACACAAAACCATGAGCCTGCAGGTAAAACCCAGGGAAAACACGACACACAAAACCACGAGCCTGCAGGTAAAACCTGGGGAAAACCATCCATCCATTTTCTTCCGCTTATCCGGGGTCGGGTCTCGGGGGCATCAGTCTAAGCAGGGACTCCCAGACTTCCTTCACCCCAGACACTTCCTCCAGCTCCTCCAGTGGGACCTGAGGTGTTCCCAGTCCAGTCCAGAGACATCGTCCCTCCAGTGTGTCCTGGGTCTCCTCCTCCTCCCGCTGGGACATGAACACCTCCTGGGGGACACGTCCAGGAGACGTCAGAACAGACGTCCTCCCCTCAGACGCTCCTCTCCACGTGGAGGAGCAGCGGCTCTACTCCGAGCTCCTCCCGTGTGACTGAGCTCCTCACTCTGTCTCTAAGGGAGACGCCCAGACCCCCTGCGGAGGAAACTCATTTCGAGCTCTTGTATCTGTGATCTCGTCCTTTTGGTCACTACCCAGAGCTCATGACCAGAGGTGAGAGGAGGAACGAAGACTGAGGGTAAATCGAGAGCTTCACCTTTAGACTCACCTCCTCTTCACCACAACGGCCCGATACAGCGACCGCATCACTGCCGACGCTGCACCTGTCCACCTGTCAATCTCACGCTCCATCCTCCCCTCACTCCAGAACAAAACCCTGAGATACTTGAACTCCTCCACTTGAGGCAGAGCCTCTCCACCCACCTGGAGAGGGCAAGATGCCTTTTTCCGGTCGAAGACCACGACCTCGGACTTGGAGGAGCTGATCTTCATCCCAGCCGCTTCACACTCGGCTGCAAACCGCCCCAGTGCTGCAGGTCCTGGTTCGATGAAGCCAACAGAACAACATCATCTGCAAACAGCAGAGATGAAATCCTGTGGTCCCCGAACCGGACCCTCCGGCCCCTGACTGCGCCTAGAAATTCTGTCCATAAACACAATGAACAGAACCGGTGACAGGTGCAGCCCTGGCGGAGTCCAACATGCACCGGGAACAGGTCTGACTTTCTGCCGGCAACGAACACAGCTCCTGCTCCGGTCATACAGGGACCGGACAGCCCTTAGCAAAGGGCCCCGGACCCCGGACTCCCAGAGCCCCCCCCCACAGGACACCACGAGGGACACGGTCGAATGCCTTCTCCAGATCCACAAAGCACATGTGGACTGGTTGGGCAAACTCCCATGAACCTCGAGCACCGATGGAGAGTGTAGAGCTGGTCCAGTGTTCCACGACCAGGACGAAAACCACACTGCTCCTCCTGAATCCGAGGTTCGACTATCGGCCGGATTCTCCTCTCCAGTCCCTGGCATAGACCGGGAAGGCTGAGGAGTGTGATCCCCCTATAGTTGGAACACACCCTCCGGTCCCCCTTCTTATACAGAGGGACCACCACCCCGGTTTGCCAGTCCAGAGGTACTGTCCCCAACCGCCACGCGATGTTGAAGAGGCGTGTCAGCCAAGACCCACAACATCCAGAGACTTCAGGTACTCAGGACGGATCTCATCCAACCCCGGAGCCTTGCCACCAAGGAGCTTTAACCACCTCAGTGACTTCAGCCAGGGTGATGGATGAGTCCGCCTCCGAGTCCCCAGCCTCGGCCTCCTCCTTGGAGGACGTGACGGTGGGATTGAGGAGATCCTCAAAGTTTTCCTTCCACCGTCCAACAACGTCCCCAGTCGAGGTCAGCAGCTCTCCCCCCGCACTGTAAACAGTGTTGGTGAAGAACTGCTTCCCCCTCCTGAGGCGCCGGACGGTTTGCCAGAATCTCTTTGAGGCCGTCCGATAGTCCTTCTCCATGGCCTCCCCGAACTCCTCCCAGCTCCGAGTTTTTGCCTCCGCGACCACACGGGCTGCAGCACGTTTGGCCCGTCGGTACCTGTCAGCTGCCTCAGGAGTCCCCCGAGCCAGCAAGGCCCAACAGGACTCCTTCTTCAGCTTAACCGCGACAGACACTTCGAGCAGCCGTATGGACAATAGAGGCCGAGAATGAAACCCACTCGGACTCCATGTCTCCAGCCTCACCCGGCATCCGGGAGAAGTTCTCCTGGAGGTGTGAGTTGAAACGCCTAGGGTGTCCTGGTGCCACGTGCACTTATGGACCTTGTGCTCGAACATGGTGTTTGTTATGGACAAACTGTGACTAGCACAGAAGTCCAATAACAAAACACCACTCGGGTTCAGATCAGGGAGGCCGTTCCTCCCAATCACCCCTCTCCAAGTGTCACTGTTGGGTTCCAGAGCCCAAACTGTGCGTGGAGGTGAGGCCGACTATATCTAGTCGGTAACGCTCAACCTCCCGCACAAGCTCAGGCTCCTTCCCCCCAGCGAGGTGACATTCCATGTCCCCAGAGCCACAGTCTCCATGTCTGGAGATCTGGTCGTCGAGGCCCCCGCCGTCGACTGCCGCCCAGATCTCTCTGCACCGGCCCCATATGGATCCTCCTGCGGGTGTTGGGCCCACGTGAGGACGGCCCCACGTCGCTCCTTCGGGCTGAGCCCGGCCGAGCCCCGTGGGGGGAGGCTCGGCCACCAGGCGCTCGCTGACGAGCTCCCACCCCAGGCCTGGCTCCAGGGTGAGGCCCCGGTGACGCCGATCCTGGCGACGTAACTGTGGAATCATCATGTGGGGCTTCTGACCCGTTCTTCGTCTGACCCGTCCCCCCGGACCTGTTTGTCTTGGGAGACCAGGGGCATGAAGCCCCCGACAGCAGAGCTCCCGAGATCATTCAGGCTCAAACCCTCCACCACGATAAGGTGACGGTTCAAGGAGGAGGGGAAAACACAACACACAAAACCACGAGCCTGCAGGTCTCTCCCTCTGTCAGGTGGTTTTCACGTTTCTCTTCTTCAGTTGTTTTCATGTTCTCTTCTTCTTCAGGTTGTTTTCACGTTCTCTTCTTCTTCAGGTTGTTTTCACGTTCTCTTCTTCTTCAGGTTGTTTTCATGTTCTCTTCTTCTTCAGGTTGTTTTCATGTTCTCTTCTTCTTCAGGTTGTTTTCATGTTCTCTTCTTCTTCAGGTTGTTTTCATGTTCTCTTCTTCTTCAGGTTGTTTCTTCTCTTCTTCTTCAGGTTGTTTTCATCTTTCTTCTTCAGGTTGTTTTCACGTTCTCTTCTTCTTCAGGTTGTTTTCATGTTCTCTTCTTCTTCAGGTTGTTTTCATGTTCTCTTCTTCTTCAGGTTGGCTGTACGTTCTCCTCTTCGTCTGCGCTCTCATTTCTTTGGCCAAGTCGATGATCTCCGTGGTTCACCTGGTCACGGCGTCGCAGAACATGGCCGCCATCGACGCCGCCGAGCGACAGGGCACCAAGAAGCAGTGACGTGACCGTGACGACCACCACGACTACGACCCGATCCACGCGCCGCCGGGGGAATCGCCACGACAACGACTCGAATTCTGCCGATGAAAAAATTAACAACGAACAGGAAGAAGAAGAAGAAGAAGAAGAAGAAGCTCGGTGCCGAGGAGACGGAGCGAGAAAACGGACGAGGACGAACACACGGACACAGGAGCAGACAGGAGCAGACAGGAGCAGACAGGAGCAGACAGGAGCAGACAGGAGCAGGCAGGAGCAGACAGGAGCAGAGACACCTTTACAAGAGCTGACTAAAATACTAAACTGGGACTAAACTAGAACTCAACCAGGATTTAAATGAGATGCTTAAACCAGGTCTAAACCAGGTCTAAACCAGGACTAAACCAGGACTAAACCAGGACTAAACCAGGTCTAAACCAGGACTAAACCAGGTCTAAACCAGGTCTAAACCAGGTCTAAACCAGGACTAAACCAGGACTAAACCAGGACTAAACCAGGTCTAAACCAGGACTAAACCAGGTCTAAACCAGGTCTAAACCAGGTCTAAACCAGGACTAAACCAGGTCTAAACCAGGTCTAAACCAGGACTAAACCAGGACTAAACCAGGACTAAACCAGGTCTAAACCAGGTCTAAACCAGGTCTAAACCAGATCTAAACCAGGACTAAACCAGGACTAAACCAGGTCTAAAGGTATTTGTTTTATGGAGTCTGTAACAGAAGCTTTTGTTCTGTATTTTTGCTCCTGTCGGCTCCTGTCGGCTCCTGTCGCCGTAGAAACCCCAGAGTCTCCCTGAACTCAGTCGTGTCCCTTTTTAAAGCTGCGCTGTGTAACTTTTCCCCACCTGCTCGTCTCCGTGGAGATGTTCCACAGCGCGGCATTAAACTCGCCGCAGGAGCGACGAGCTTAATGCCGCGCTCTGGGACATTTACGGTGTTATGATGCAGTCGCCACAGAGACGGGCTGATGCCGAAGCGACGGAGTGCAGCTTTAACTTTAGCTCCGCCTCCAGAGCGAAAAGAACCAATCACGACCAAACTCACGACATTCACGAACACGAGAGCAGCTCCCAGAGAAACCGGACCCAACGCTCCAACGATCCACGATCCAACGATCCAATCGATCCACGATCCACGATCCAACGATCCAACGATCCAACGATCCACGATCCACGATCCACGATCCAACGATCCACGATCCACGATCCACGATCCACGATCCAACGATCCACGATCCACGATCCACGATCCACGATCCACGATCCACGATCCACGATCCACGATCCACGATCCACGATCCAACGATCCACGATCCACGATCCACGATCCAATCCACGATCCACGATCCACGATCCACGATCCAACGATCCAACGATCCACGATCCAACGATCCAATCCAACGATCCACGATCCACGATCCACGATCCACGATCCACGATCCACGATCCACGATCCACGATCCACGATCCACGATCCACGATCCACGATCCACGATCCAACGATCCACGATCCACGATCCACGATCCACGATCCAACGATCCACGATCCAACGATCCACGATCCACGATCCACGATCCACGATCCACGATCCAACGATCCACGATCCACGATCCACGATCCACGATCCATCCACGATCCACGATCCACGATCCACGATCCAACGATCCAACGATCCACGATCCACGATCCACGATCCAACGATCCACGATCCAACGATCCGCGCTCCACACACGACACACGACGGACGAGACGTGACACACGACATTTTAGAAAAGCCGCCACCGTCTAAGATGAACTTTAGTTTAACTTCTCCAAACTTCTGCTCCTCAAATGTTTCTCCTTCTCGTTCTGTGTTTGGAATCAGCTCCTCAAACCTTTTTCAGACCCGGAGTTTGTTTTCTGGAGTTTGTTTCCCGGAGTTTGTTTTCTGGAGTTTGTTTTCTGGAGTTTGTTTTCTGGAGTTTGTTTCTGGAGTTTGGAGTTTGTTTGGAGTTTGTTTTCTGGAGTTTGTTTTCTGGAGTTTGTTTTCCTCGTTGTCGCACTTCCTCAGTTTTTGATTTGAAACTTCTGGTCGCTCTGACTTGAGTTTATTTCTCCAAACACAGAAGAAGATGAACTCAGTTTTTGTTTCATGTGGAGAGTTTTTCCAGGTCTGGACTCTGGTCTGGACTCTGGACTCTGGTCTGGACTCTGGACTCTGGTCTGGACTGTGGACTGTGGATTTTTAAGGCTGTGGTCTGTTTGTGTCCGTGTTGCGTTCGAGGTCTGGTTTCTCTGGTGTTTTTTGACGGTGCGTTCAGGCGCAGTGGGATTTTGTGGAGTAAATCTGAAGTTTAGATTTTATTGAAACAACAGAAATATTAATGATGAATCTGATTTAAAACGGCACAAAAAATGTACAAAAATATAAATGTGTGTTTATGCACTGGACGGACGAGCCACGAGTCACAGACCGGGACTAGACCGGGACTAGACCGGGACTAGACCGGGACTAGACCGGGACTAGACCGGGACTAGACCGGGACTGAACCAGGAATGAAAAGAGACAGTTTTTTTTTCTGGTTTAGTCCCAGTTAGGATCAGGTTTTGACCCAGTTTAGATCTGACTTAGACCAAGTTTGGTTTAGACCTACTTTAGATCTGGGTCAGACCTGGTTTAGTCCTGGTTTAGTCCTGGTCTAGACCTTATTTAGTCCTGGTTTAGTCCTGGTTCATTCGTGGCTTAAATCTGAATCTTTTAATTTATTTTCACAGATTTTGGTGAATATTAGAACATGAGTTTTATTTTAATTTGTGGTGTTTTTTTTGTTTTTTTATGATCATGAGAGAAATTCCATGTTTTTGTGTTTTTATTCCAGTACAAACGTGAACACAGCGGGGGGGGGGGGGGGAGGGTGAGGGGGGGGGGGGGGTGAGGGGGGCGGCGCTTTTCTCCTCTGACCTCGTTCAGACGCTCGACTCGTTAAAAGTTTTTGAAATTCTCATTTAATTTCGACTTTCAGGTCTAAAAACTAAAATTAAATCAACTCATCAATCAAAAAAAAACAAAACCCTGTGAATGAAGAGACACCCGATGACATCACAAAGTGGTGGTTAGAGCGGGCTGTGTTATATTAGAGCAGGTTAAAGCTCCACTGCGGGACATTTCCTCCCATCAGAACAGGACGTGGGGCAGAAAATGGAGCTTTAGGAGATTTGAACGAGGCCAGAAGTTTTTTTTTAGTTTCTTTATGTTGTAGTTTCCCGTTTATCTGCAGTACCGCGTGTGTCCTGTAGGGGCGCTGCGTCCTGTAGGGGGGCTGCGTCCTGTAGGGGGCGCTGCGTCCTGTAGGGGGCGTGTCCTGTAGGGGGGCGTGTCCTGTAGGGGGGGCTCCTGTAGGGGCTGCGTCCTGTAGGGGGCCGTGTCTGTAGGGGCCGTGTCCTGTAGGGGGCTGTGTCCTGTAGGGGGGCCGTGTCCTGTAGGGGGCTGTGTCCTGTAGGGGCTGTCCTGTAGGGGGCGCTGTAGGGGGCGTCCTGTAGGGGGGCCGTGTAGGGGGTGTCCTGTAGGGGGCGCTGCGTCCTGTAGGGGCTGCGTCCTGTAGGGGGCTGTGTCCTGTAGGGGCGCTGTGTCCTGTAGGGGGGCTGCGTCCTGTAGGGGGCTGCGTCCTGTAGGGGGGCTGCGTCCTGTAGGGGGGCTGCCGTCCTGTAGGGGGCGCGTCCTGTAGGGGGGCTGCGTCCTGTAGGGGCTGAGGGGGGCTGTAGGGGGCGCGTCCTGTAGGGGGCTGCGTCCTGTAGGGGGGCTGCGTCCTGTAGGGGGGCTGCGTCCTGTAGGTGGCGCTGCGTCTCTGTTTCTGTTTCTCTGAATGTAAAAGTGAAGTTGAACCAAGTGGATTTAAACTCAGTATCTTGTGTATTTTTGTGTTTTTTTTGTGTATTTTTGCTGATTTACTGTAAAACATCAAATAAAACAAGAATAAAATGAAATGTTCAGACTCAGAGACGTTTGTTTCACACACACGACCCAAACCAGGACTAAACCAGGACTAAACCAGGACTTAAACCAGGTTTAAACCAGGACTAAACCAGGACTAAACCAGGTTTAAACCAGGACTAAACCAGGACTAAACCAGGACTAAACCAGGTTTAAACCAGGACTAAACCAGGACTAAACCAGAACTGAACCTGGACTGAACCAGGACTTAACCAGGTTTAAACCAGAACTAAGCCAGGACTAAACCAGGTTTAAACCGGGACTAAACCAGGACTAAACCAGGACTAGACCAGGACTAAACCAGAACTGAACCTGGACTGAACCAGGACTTAACCAGGTTTAAACCAGAACTAAACCAGGACTAAACCAGGTTTAAACCAGGACTAAACCAGGTCTAAACCAGGACTAAACCAGGACTAGACCAGGACTGTAACTCTTTAATAATACTGAGATTGACAGGTGCGGCGTGGGCAGATTGACAGGTGGACAGGTGCGGCGTGGGCAGATTGACAGGTGGACAGGTGCGGCGTGGGCAGATTGACAGGTGCGGCGTGGGCAGATTGACAGGTGGGCGTGGGCAGATTGACAGGTGCGGCAGATTGACAGGTGGACAGGTGCGGCGTGGGCAGATTGACAGGTGGACAGGTGCGGCGTGGGCAGATTGACAGGTGGACAGGTGCGGCGGCACAGTGGGCGGCGTGGCAGATTGACAGGTGGACAGGTGCGGCGTGGGCAGATTGACAGGTGGACAGGTGCGGCGTGGGCAGATTGACAGGTGGACAGGTGCGGCGTGGGCAGATTGACAGGTGGACAGGTGCGGCGTGGGCAGATTGACAGGTGGACAGGTGCGGCGTGGGCAGATTGACAGGTGGACAGGTGCGGCGTGGGCGTCTCCCTTAGACACAGAGGTGGGAGCTCGGAGTAGAGCCGCTGCTCCTCCACGTGGAGAGGAGCGTCTGAGGGGAGGACGTCTGTTCTCCTCAGGAGGTGTTACATCTGTACAGCTCCAAACACTCTGCTCCACCTCATGATGTCATCAAGTGTTAAAATGATTCTAAGTTCTCAGCTCCTTTAAAGTAAAGATCAGCAGCTCCAGGGCGGCCGCGCTCCTGTCAGTCTGCCCCGGGGCAGCTGCGGCTACAGCAGCAGTTTACATCAGCAGGTGCAGAGTGAAACATGTTCTGTTTCTGTGAAAAGTTCTGTAGAAATAAAGATTTATAAAGAGTGAAATGATCCAGATGTTTCTTTATTCTGTTTCTTCTAAAATCACTTTATTCTTTTTGTTTCTGTTCATGATTTATTCCTTTCTCCATCCTCCATGTTCCTCCATGTTCCTCCATGTTCCTCCATGTTCCTCCATGTTCTTCTTCTTCTCTGGGTCTCGGAGCATCACTCCCAGACTTCCCTCACCCCAGACACTTCCTCCTGAGGTGTCCCCAGTCCAGAGACATGGTCCCTCCAGTGTGTCCAGTGTGTCCAGTGTGTCCAGTGTGTCCAGTGTGTCCAGTCTCGTCCTCCGTCCTCCTTTCATTTTCTTCATTTGTGTGATATTTTTTTGTGATGTTAAAATTCAGTTTATTTGGTTTAGTTTGATTTGTTTTTATTCAACTCGGCACATTTTTGTTTTTAGTTTAGTGAAACAGACAGGTGCAGCAGGACCAGAGACAGGTGCAGCAGGACGAGAGACAGGTGCAGGAGAGACAGGTGCAGGAGAGACAGGTGCAGGAGAGACAGGTGCAGGAGAGGCAGGTGCAGGAGAGACAGGTGCAGGAGAGACAGGTGCAGGAGAGACAGGTGCAGGAGAGACAGGTGCAGGAGAGACAGGTGCAGGAGAGGCAGGTGCAGGTTAGACAGGTGCAGGTTAGACAGGAGCAGGACAGACAGGTGCAGGAGAGACAGGTGCAGGAGAGACAGGGCAGGAGAGACAGGTGCGGGAGGCAGGTGCAGGTTAGCAGGTGCAGGAGACAGGTGCAGGAGAGGCAGGTGCAGGAGAGACAGGTGCAGGAGAGACAGGTGCAGGAGAGGCAGGTGCAGGTTAGACAGGTGCAGGTTAGACAGGTGCAGGTTAGACAGGTGCAGGAGAACAGGTGCAGGAGAGACAGGTGCGGAGAGGCAGGTGCAGGTTAGACAGGAGCAGGACAGACAGGTGCAGTTAGACAGGTGCAGGAGAGACAGGTGCAGGTTAGACAGGTGCGGGAGAGGCAGGTGCGGGTTAGACAGGTGCAGGAGAGGCAGGTGCAGGAGAGGCAGGTGCAGGTTAGACAGGTGCAGGAGAGACAGGTGCAGGTTAGACAGGTGCAGGAGAGACAGGTGCAGGTTAGACAGGTGCGGGAGAGGCAGGTGCAGGTTAGACAGGTGCAGGAGAGACAGGTGCGGGAGACAGAGAGCAGGTGCAGGTTAGACAGGTGCGGGAGGGCAGGTTGCAGGTGACAGGTGCAGGTTAGACAGGTGCAGGAGAGGCAGGTGCAGGTTTGTTCATGTTTCCTCGTTCACCTGCAAAACGTGGAGTAGATTTTAGAAGCTCTGGATCTGGATTTGGACGTTGAGTTTTTAGTTTTTTTTAATTTAATTTTTAGTTTCGTTTTACAGTTTTTTTCTGTCTTTTTTCTTTTCTTCTGGAGACGTCAAAACCTTCGACCCAAGTCCATAAACATTCTTCTTAAATCACAAAATAAAGGTGGAGTTTTTCATTATTCAACATTAATGTGGATATTTTATTGTGTCTCTGAACTTTTAGTTTTACTCAAGTTTTAAATAAAGAAAAAGAGAAACTGAAGCATAAATCTCCTGGAGCCTCTGATCTTTACAGATTTATCAGTTTGTTCAGGACTCAGCTGCGCCCTCATGTGTCAGAGCTGGACATCACACACTCACATGCAAGACTCAAAACACCCTCTCTTGTGACCCACCTGAGGCCCGCGACCCAGACTTTGAGAAACACCAGTGTGAACCAGGTCCCCACAAGTCCAGACGAGATCATCTGAGTTCTGTTTAGTTCTAAATTTGCTCAACGCTTTTGTTTGTTATTTTTTATTGGAGTTTAAAAACACAGAGGAGCACTTCAGTTTGAGAGAAGAGCTGGTGTTAAATGTGCAGGTTTGTGTTAAACATGTGAATGAAACAAACACGACTCCAGGTCTGAGTGACGACAGAAGAACAGAACAGAGGATTATTTTTACAAGTTTCCACATTCTAAACTGGGACAAACTCGAGTTTGGACGTTTGGTGTGAATAAAAGCGGCGGAACATTCTGGATTCTCCTGTCAGTCTGGATCTGACGAGCTTCTGTCACTGCATAGTTTTGTTTTATGTTCGTTCACAAACAGATTTGTGTATTTTACCAAAACAAATGACAATTTCTGCTCCTGTTTTCTGTTGGCAGAGACCAGATTCTGTCAAAAACTGTGACTGTCCTGGTTTAGTCTTGGTTTAGTCCTGGTTTAGTCCTGGTTTAGTCTTGGTTTAGTCCTGGTTTAGTCTTGGTTTAGTCCTGGTTTAGTCCTGGTTTAGTCTGGTTTAGTCTGGTTTAGTCCTGGTTTAGTCCTGGTTTAGTCTTGGTTTAGTCCTGGTTTAGTCCTGGTTTAGTCCTGGTTTAGTCTTGGTTTAGTCCTGGTTTAGTCCTGGTTTAGTCCTGGTTTAGTTTTGGTTTAGTCTTGGTTTAGTCCTGGTTTAGTTTTGGTTTAGTCCTGGTTTAGTCTGGTTTAGGTTTAGTCTGGTTTAGTCCTGGTTTAGTCTTGGTTTAGTCCTGGTTTAGTCCTGGTTTAGTCCTGGTTTAGTCCTGGTTTAGTCTTGGTTTAGTCTTGGTTTAGTCTTGGTTTAGTCCTGGTTTAGTCTTGGTTTAGTCCTGGTTTAGTCTTGGTTTAGTCCTGGTTTAGTCCTGGTTTAGTCCTGGTTTAGTCCTGGTTTAGTCTGGTTTAGGTTTAGTCTTGGTTTAGTCCTGGTTTAGTCCTGGTTTAGTCCTGGTTTAGTCTTGGTTTAGTCTTGGTTTAGTCCTGGTTTAGTCCTGGTTTAGATCAGATTGGTCCAAAACAGAGACACTGGGACATTTCTTGTATAAATTGGGACAAATCATTGGTTTTGTGTAAATCTGTGGGACAGAGACACAGACTCAGGACCGGGACTGTCCCGGGGACACGGACTCAGGACCGGGACTGTCCCGGGGACACGGACTCAGGACCGGGACTGTCCCGGGGACACGGACTCAGGACCGGGACTGTCCCGGGGACTCAGGACCGGGACTGTCCCGGGGACGGACTCAGGACCGGGACTGTCCCGGGGACAGGACTGTCCCGGGGACGGGACTGTCCCGGGGACTGTCCCGGACAGACGGGACTGTCCCGGGGAAAGTCACTTGTGCAGATGTTTAATCAGCGTCCAGGACATTGGACATTATTAAAGTGAGCAGAAGTTCAAAATAAAAAACTGGAACATTCCTGATTTTTTGGTGGTTGGTGATAATAAAATTATGAAACGAGTGCGAAATTAAGGAAAATAGTTTTGCAGAAAACATTTATAACAAACATGAGTCAGTAAAGTCACATTTTCTTTGTGTTTTGGTCATTTTTAAGCAGATTTTCTATATTTTACCAAAACAAATGTCAGTTTCTGCCTTTGTTTACTGTTGGCAGGATCAGGTTGGTAAAAAAAAAAAAAAAGTGATAATCCTGTTTTAGTCCTGGTTTAGTTTTGGTTTAGTTTTGGTTTAGATCAAACTGGTCAAAACTAGAGACACTGGGACATTTGTTGTGTAAATCTGGGACTGTCCCGGGAAACTGGAGCATCTGGTCTCCTTCAATCTTGGACATTTAACCCGAGGAGGTGAAATAAAAACACAGACACTAAACAAAAGAATCAAAGTGACGCTAAAAACAACGGGACTATTTTCTGCAAAGCCGTTTGTAAAAATGCAAATGCGCCGGTTCCGTGGGCGCAGAGGCTGGACTGTCCGTGGGTCCGGCCCCGTGTCCGGCCCGGGCCCGAGCGCTGACCTCGGCTGCAGCTGCACACGCGCATCGGTACCTTTAAGACGCCGTTTCACCGGAGCGGGCACCATTTTACCGAGGACCCGAAAGAGCGAACCAAACCCGGGGCCCCGTGAGCCTCAGCCGCCGCCGGAGCAGCCCCAGCCCGCCGCCGCACCGAGCCTCTGACGCACCGCGGGCTCCGGGCGCTGCGGTCCGGCCCACGGAGGAGGACGAGCCGCCGAGAGAGGGGGCGAGGACCGCGGGAGAGGAGCGGGGAGAGGAGCGGGGAGAGGACCGGGGGGAGCGCAGCGGAGGAGCCGGGGACCGTGACGCCGAGTGGGAGTGGGGAGGGTTCACCAAATCCTTTCCCTTTAAAGCTGCGCGGGGCTGAAGAAGCGATAAAAAAAGAAAACGGAGGAGCAGGGAAGGAGGGAGGGAGCGGGAGGAAAAAAAGCGAAAAAACATGTCGCCGACGCCGCGCGGAGGGAGACGGCGCCGGGGCGGAGTCACGGAGGCAGGCCGGGCGGCAGCGCTCTGAACCCGGGCACCAGCGTCACGACAGGCCGAGGCTGCGGGACTCTCCACTGGGCCTCCCCGGAGCCTGCGCGTTAATAAAAGACACTCCGCAGCTTTTAAAGATGATTTTCACTGCGTTTTTCTCATTTAACCAGACTGTTCACGCCCAGAACCGGCCGAACCAGCAGCAGAACCGGCACTAGAACCAGTAGAACATAAGCAAATGTAGGAAAATGAAGCACCACAGAAAGTACGGCTCCCGCGGTCTGGCGCTTTCCAGCATCTTCTTTATCAGGCTGCCATATTAAAGCATAACTACGGAACATTCCCATTACACTCAGGCGTGACCGCGCTAAACCCGCTCGCTGTTGTAGCTGTCGGTCAGTCGGGCTCCGGTTCGGGCTCGGTTCGGGCTCGGTTCGGGCCCCGGTTCGGTGGTTTTTGTCAGCGGGACTCGGGGGTCGCGTGTGGCCGCCGTCCTCGCGCCGCTCCCCGGCCGCCGCGCCGCTCCTCCCGCCGCGGCGCCATGGACACGTCCTGGAGTAATTTCCTCTTCCAGGTGAGTGAGGCTGGGGCCGGGGAGCGGAGGACCGGAGCACCGGGGGGACAGGGGGGCTGCTGCGGGGGTTTACAGGCGGGAGGGGGGGGGGTCAGCGCCGGGTCACGCTCCGGACAGACCCCCCCCCCCCCTCCTCCTTCCTCCCCCAGCTCCAGTCCACCGAGTCTCCAGAGGGATTTTTATTATTTTTATTTAGAAACAAATTTAGGAATAAAACATAAAACCAAAAGCTCCAAGTCCAGAGTCCAAAGTGCTGCACAAAACAAAACAAAAAAACACAAAGAAATACAAAATAAACCCTTTAACCAGTGTTGGGAGTAACAGATTACATGTACCAGAGTAATCAGAGTACAAATGATGAGTAACTGTATTCAGTTACAGTTACTGTTTCAGTGAGTGGGAATTGGATTACAGTTACTTTGTTGAAATAAATGGATTAAACAGAGGGATTTTACTGTTTTTACATTTTGGGCTAAATCCCTTTTTTTTTTTTTTTTCTTTTTTTCTCTCGGTAATTCCACTTACTGCAGTAAACTAAACCAGGACTAAACCAGGACTAAACCAGGTCTAAACCTGATCTAAACCAGGTCTAAACCAGGACTAAACCAGATCTAAACCAGGACTAAACCAGGACTAAACCAGGACTGAACCAGGACTAAAACCAGGTCCAAACCAGATCTAAACTAGGTCTAAAACCAGGACTAAACCAGATCTAAACCAGGTCCAAACCAGGTCTAAACCAGGTCTAACCTAGATCTAAACCAGGTCTAAAACCAGGTTCAAACCAGGACTAAACCAGATCTAAACCAGGTCTAAAACCAGGTCCAAACCAGGACTAAACCAGGACTGAACCAGGACTAAAACCAGGTCCAAACCAGGTCCAAACCAGGTCTAAAACCAGGTCTAAAACCAGGACTAAACCAGATCTAAACCAGGTCTAAAACCAGGAGTAAACCAGGTCTAAAGCCAGATCTAAAACCAGGTCTCAACCAGGTCTAACTCCAGGTCCAAACCAGGTCTAAACCAGGACTAAACTAGGTCTAAACTAGGACTAAACCAGGTCTAAACCAGTAAACCAGGTCTAAACCAGGTCTAAACCTAAACCAGGATCTAAACCAGGTCTAAAACCAGGTCTAAAACCAGGTCTAAACCAGGTCTAAACCAGGATCTAAACCAGGATCCAGGTAAACCAGGTCTAAACCAGGACTAAACCAGGTCTAAACCAGGACTAAACCAGGACTAAACCAGGACTAAACAGGACTAAATAAACCTAAACCAGCTAAACCAGTGTGGACGTGTTTCTTCGTTTTCTATCAATAATATTTTTAATTTGGTTCAGTAAAGTTTGGACTTTTTATTTTCTTTTATCAGACAAAACTTCTTATGTGAAGATTTCCTCGTCTTTGTTTCTCTACAGCAAATCAAGTAATCCAAAGTAATCAGATTACATTACTCACTACATTTTGGTGTGTGTAATCTGTAATCTGTAGGGGATTACATTTTAAAAGTAAACTTCCCAACACTGTCTTTAACTGGTCCCTTTGAAAAACTCTAAACAAAAACATCCTAAATTCCGGGATGGAGGCAAAAGGGAAGTGGAACATCATGTGACTTTAACGGAAAAACTGAGATTAATTTCAGAATATCACAAGATATGAAAAGTCAAGGACAGTTTTGGAAAATGAAAACGGCTCAGACACGTGAAGGATCAGAGTCGTTTAAAAACACTTACAGTTGTGTTTTATATTATTAGTTTATTTGACACTGAGCGTTTTTACGAAGGCAGAATCCACATTTTGAGGTTTTACTGGACAAATCCTCACAGATGTTCAGTTTTTCACTTCAGATACAGATTTATTACACGTTTCATCATAAACAGTGTTCAAATGTAATCCCCTACAGATTACAGATTACAGATTACACACACCAAAATGTAGTTTGTAACTGAATCCATTAAATTACTTAAAGTGAGTAATGTAATCTGATTACTTTGGATTACTTGATTTTCTGTAGAGAAACAAAGACGAGGAAATCTTCACATAAGAAGTTTTGTCTGATAAAAGAAAATAAAAAGTCCAGATTTTACTGAACCAAATTAAAAATATTATTGATAGAAAACGAAGAAACACGTCCACACAGCAGGATTTAGACCTGGTCTAGTCCTGGTTTAGTCCTGGTTTAGATCTGGTTTAGATCTAGTTTAGACCTGGTTTTAGTCCTGGTTTAGACCTGGTTTAGTGCTGGTTTAGACCTGGTTTAGATCTAGTTTAGACCTGGTTTAGTCCTGGTTTAGACCTGGTTTAGACCTGGTTTAGATCTAGTTTAGACCTGGTTTTAGTCCTGGTTTAGACCTGGTTTAGTCCGGTTTACCTGGTTTTAGTCTGGTTTAGACCTGGTTTAGTCCTAGTTTTAGACCTGGTTTAGTCCTGGTTTAGACCTGGTTTAGATCTAGTTTAGACCTGGTTTTAGTCCTGTTTAGACCTGGTTTAGACCTGGTTTAGTCCTGGTTTAGACCTGGTTTTAGTCCTGGTTTAGACCTGGTTTAGTCCTGGTTTAGACCTGGTTTAGATCTAGTTTAGCCCTGGTTTAGCCCTGGTTTAGTCCTGGTTTAGCCCAAAATGTGAAAACAGGAAAATTTTAACTAACTTATTCCAACAAAGTAACTGTAATCCAATTCCCACTCACTGAAACAGTAACTGTAACTGAATACAGTTACTCATCATTTGTACTCTGATTACTTAACTCCAGGACATGTAATCTGTTACTCCCCAACACTGTTCATAAATTATACTTTTTCTGAAGCCCAAATACTGTTTTAGAGTAAAAAAACTGTATTTTTGTTCATCGTTCTGAACAGAGAAGCAAAATAAATCAGATTTGTACCTCGTAAATTCAAAATAGTTACTTATTTTTGTTATAAAGTCATAAAACCATCAGTATTTACATCAGCTCGTCAGTGAAACATTATAAATATTTAATGTTTAATACTTTATTTTGCCTCCATTCTAGAATTTTGAACATTCTGATGAAGATTTGAAAGGGTCAAATCAAAAAAGATTAATATGAATTCAAATGTTAAATAATATTCATAAATAAAAGTGTAAAAACATAAAAAAACAGAAACTGAAACGACTCTTGTGGTGTTAAAGCCAGAGAATAAAGAGGCTTTAAAAGAGACTTAAAACTCTCTTTGTTTAATTATTTTGTCCAATTAATTATTCAGAATTGTCTCGTTTGTGTTTTAAAAAATCCTCCAATAATTAAATCGACCAAATTTCCCGAATCTAAAGCTGCGCGTCGGTGAAAATAAAAGTGAAAAGTGCATCATTAAGGAAAATATGGACGTGTTTGATCTGAGACACTCCAGTTTCTGTGAGTTTTTTTTTTGTTCTCATCATTTTCCTGCACATTTTTCTGTGTTTTATGTTTCACTTTAGACTCAGACAAACTTTTTTGATCCAGAAGGAAATGATCTGGACACAGAGTCACACGTCACAAATAAATAAATAAAATATAAAAACAAAGAGAAACAAGAGAAACGGTGATGATAAAACATTAAACTTTTCTTTATAAAACTGAGACAAATCACAGTTTTTGTCTCTAAACGCTCCAAAAAAACTAGTCTGAATATGTTTGTTTTTATCGACAGCGGCTCAGTCGGTGGAGCGTTTGTCCACTGGTTTAGACCGGATTTAGACCAGGTTTAGACTGGGTTTGGACCGGGTTTAGACTGGGTTTGGACCAGGTTTAGACCGGGTTTAGACCGGGTTTAGACCGGGTTTAGACCGGGTTTAGACTGGGATTTAGACTGGGTTTAGACCGGGTTTAGACCGGGTTTAGACTGGGTTTAGACCGGGTTTAGACCGGGGTTTAGACCAGGGTTTAGACCGGGTTTAGACTGGGTTTAGACTGGATTTAGACCGGGTTTAGACCGGGTTTAGACCGGGTTTAGACTGGGGTTTTAGAAGACTGGGTTTAGACCGGGTTTAGACTGGGTTTAGACCGGGTTTAGACCGGGTTTAGACCTTTAGACAGGGGTTTAGACCGGATTTAGACCGGGTTTAGACCGGGTTTAGACCGGGTTTAGACCGGGTTTAGACCAAGTTTAGACCGGTTTAGACCGGGTTTAGACTGGGTTTAGACCGGGTTTAGACTGGGTTTAGACCGGGTTTAGACCGGGTTTAGACCGGGTTTAGACGGGGTTTAGACTGGGTTTAGACCGGGTTTAGACGGGGTTTAGACTGGATTTAGACCGGATTTAGACCGGGTTTAGACCAGGTTTAGACCGGGTTTAGACGGGATTTAGACGGGGTTTAGACTGGATTTAGACCGGGTTTAGACTGGGTTTAGACCGGGTTTAGACCGGGTTTAGACTGGGTTTAGACCGGGTTTAGACCGGGTTTAGACTGGCTTTAGACCGGGTTTAGACCGTCCACTGATCTGAAGGCTGAGGGTTCAATTCCCGCTCTCAACAGAAACATGTGACTCCAGCTCCCACAGATGAATGCTGCTGTTGTGTCCTTGGGCAAGACACTTAACCCCCCTCACCCCCAGAGTCTGTGTGTGTGTCTGTGTGTGTGTGTGTGTGTGTGTCTGTTTACACATAATTTCACAGTAAATTCAGATAAATATAATTAAAATTAAAACACATTTTTGCTTTTATGTTTTTTATAATGATGTGGTTCTGACCCTCCCTCTGGTTCTGACCCTGGTTCTGACCTCCCTCTGGTTCTGACCCTCCCTCTGGTTCTGACCCTCCCTCTGGTTCTGACCCTCCCTCTGGTTCTGACCCCTCCCTCTGGTTCTGACCCTCCCTCTGGTTCTGACCCCTCCCTCTGGTTCTGACCCCTCCCTCTGGTTCTGACCCTCCCTCCCCCTCTCTGACCCCGTTCTGGGTTCTGACCCTCCCTGGTTCTGACCCTCCCTCCTCTGGTTCTGACCCCTCCCTCTGGTTCTGACCCTCCCTCTGTTCTGACCCCTCTGGTCCTCTGGTTCTGACCCTCCCTCTGGTTCTGACCCGACCTTCTGACCCTCCTCTGGTTCTGACCCCTCCCTCTGGTTCTGACACCCTCCCTCTGGTTCTGACCCCCCCTCCCAGGTTCTGACCCACCCCGACGGACCCCTCCCTGCTGACCCCTCTTCAGTTCTGACCCTCCCTGACCCGCTGCTCCCGGTTCTGACCTCCCTCTGGACACCCAGACCCCTCCCTCTGCCCCCCCGAAGAGCCCCTGGTGAGCCCCCCCTCCACCGTGGACACAGCGGCCCTGAGCGAAGAACCTCTGCCCGGTGAGAAGTCCGGTCTAGACCTGGTTTAGTCCTGGTTTAGACCTGGTTTAGTCCTGGTTTAGTCTGGTTTAGTTCCTGTTTAGTCCTGGTTTAGTCCTGTTTCAGTCTTGTTTTAGTCCTGTTCAGTCCTGGTTTAGTCCTGGTTTAGTCCTGTTTAGTGGTTTTAGTCCTGTTTTAGTCCTGTTTAGTCCTGTTTTAAGTCCTGTCCTGTTTCAGTCCTGTTTAGTCCTGGTTTAGTCCTGTTTCAGTCCTGTTTTAGTCCTGGTTTAGTCCTGTTTCAGTCCTGGTTTAGACCTGGTTTAGTCCTGGTTTAGTCCTGGTTTAGTCCTGGTTTAGTCCTGTTTTAGTCCTGGTTTAGTCCTGGTTTAGTCCTGGTTTAGTCCTGTTCAGTCCTGTTTTAGTCCTGGTTTAGTCCTGTTTAGTCCTGTTTTAGTCTGTTTAGTCCTTTTAGTCCTGTTTTAGTCCTGTTTCCTGTTTAGTCCTGTTTCAGTTTTTAGTCCTGGTTTAGTCTTGTTTTAGTCTTGTTTTAGTCCTGTTTCAGTCTGGTTTAGTCCTGTTTCAGTCCTGTTTTAGACCTGGTTTAGTCCTGGTTTAGTCCTGGTTTAGTCCTGGTTTAGTCCTGTTCCAGTCCTGTTCCAGTCCTGTTTTAGTCCTGTTTTGTGTCTCGTCAGTGAAAGTCCTGGTGAAACCCGCCCACCGCGCGGCTCACGTTTGTTCCACGTGTAACAAAGAGTTTAAGAACAGTTATAACCTGCGGCGGCACCAGTCCGTCCACACCGGGGTCAAGATGAAGGACCGAGCCGCCCGCGAGAAGGACGACGGGGTCAAAGGGCACAAGCAGACGGTGCCCCTGAGCCTGCTGCAGCTCACCCTCCCCTCACACACACAGGTACGGGTTTACACCGGGTTTAGACAGGGTTTAGACCGGGTTTAGACGGGTTTAGACCGGTTTACACCGGGTTTACACCGGGTTTAGACAGGGTTTACACCGGGTTTACACAGGGTTTACACCGGGTTTAGACCGGGTTTAGAACAGGGTTTAGACAGGTTTACACAGGGTTTACACCCGGGTTTAGACCGGGTTTACGGGTTTAGACAGGGTTTAGACAGGTTTACACCGGGTTTAGACAGGGTTTACAACCGGTTTAGACCGGGTTTACACAGGGTTTAGACCGGGTTTAGACAGAGTTTAGACCGGGTTTAGACAGGGTTTTAGACCGGGTTTAGACCGGGTTTAGACAGGGTTTAGACCGGGTTTAGGTTTAGACACCGGGTTTAGACCGGGTTTAGTTTAGACCGGGTTTAGACAGAGTTTAGACCGGGTTTAGACCGGGTTTAGACCGGGTTTAGACCGGGTTTAGACAGGGTTTACACCGGGTTTACACGGGTTTAGACGGTTTAGACAGGGTTTAGACCGGGTTTAGACAGGGTTTAGACCGGTTTAGACAGGGTTTAGACGGGTTTACACCGGGTTTACACCAGGTTTAGACCGGGTTTACACCGGGTTTAGATCGGGTTTAGACCGGGTTTACACCGGGTTTACACCGGGTTTAGACCGGGTTTACACCGGGTTTAGACAGGGTTTAGACCGGGTTTAGACAGGGTTTAGACCGGGTTTACACCGGGTTTAGACTGAGTTTAGACAGGGTTTAGACCGGGTTTAGACAGGGTTTAGACCGGGTTTAGACAGGGTTTAGACCGGGTTTAGACAGGGTTTAGACAGGGTTTAGACAGGGTTTAGACCGGGTTTAGACAGGGTTTAGACAGGGTTTAGACCGGGTTTAGACAGAGTTTAGACAGAGTTTAGACAGAGTTTAGACCGGGTTTAGACCGGGTTTAGACAGAGTTTAGACTGAGTTTAGACAGGGTTTAGACCGGGTTTAGACCGGGTTTAGACAGAGTTTAGACAGGGTTTAGACAGAGTTTAGACCGGGTTTAGACAGGGTTTAGACTGGGTTTAGACCGAGTTTAGACCGGGTTTAGACCGAGTTTAGACAGGGTTTAGACAGGGTTTAGACGGGTTTAGACAGAGTTTAGACAGAGTTTAGACAGAGTTTAGACAGAGTTTAGACCGGGTTTAGACAGAGTTTAGACAGGGTTTAGACAGAGTTTAGACAGGGTTTAGACAGAGTTTAGACCGGGTTTAGACCGGGTTTAGACCGGGTTTAGACCAGGTTTAGTCCACTGTGATGTACTTCCTTCTCCAGTTTGATGTTCTTAATGAGTGTAAAGGCTGAAGTTTAATTCTGCGTCGGCTCATCGTTCTTTGCCGCCGTCGTCTTTCGTTTATGAATCTGTGTCGAGGTTTTTGCGCCGCAAAGAAATTCACCTCCACAACACCAGGGGGCGACGATTTAAATCTGGCGTTCGTTTTACAAAATGAAGCGGGAACGTAGAGTACGGGAAGTGTGTGTCAAGCGAACGTAGAGACGACCAATCACAGCCTTTGATTGTCTGCGTCGCTTTTGTAACGGCATCAAAGCAACGCAGAGAGTCAGGGCTGTTTAAAACAGATTTACTCAGATAATTTACCCAATTTATGAAAGACATGGACTGAAATCGAAGTTTCTACTAAATACCTAAATTATCAATATTAAAGTTTGTTTAGGGATCTTTCACAGTGACAGCAGGTGGTGCACCAAACTTTCCATTGGCTCCAGAAGATCTTAGTTGAGTTGGTTTTCATTGATTTTGATTGTTTTTTGTTGGTTTTGGTTGTTGTGGAAGCTTCAGTCACACTCGGATCTGCACTAAATCAAACGGACCGAGACTCAAAAAAGAGGTGGCCTTGGTCCAAACGCCAAACTCTGGTCCCTCTGGTGAAACACCAACTTGGGTCCAAACCGCCTATTCCAAATGCATCATGGGAGGACAGCAATGAAGCGCACCCTGGTTAAGGCGTGTGCTGGGCGCTGGGGTCAGTTTCAGACGCTTGCCCCGCGGCTGGCAGCCCATAGGTTCCCCTGGTCGGCCTCCACTTGAGGGGAGAGGGACCAGCCCGCTGTCCGTACCCTGCAGAGTGGCTCCGTGGGAAGTGGGAAGGCCACTGAGTGAGACGTCTCAGCCTTGATGTCCCCAGGCCTTGTGCAGTGGAACCTGCTGGGGCCTTGGATAAACCTCAGTGGGAGCAGGTTCGGTTGGTTCGCAGGTGTGAAAGGACCAAACTGGTGTCCTTCCAAACTGGATTCTTGAGGAATCTCCAAGAATCACCTTTGTTTGTCTTTGCTCCTTTTCCTCTTCTTCGTCGGCCATTGCAGCAAACGGCGGAATGTGTGAGAGGCGTAAACCACGTAATCCCTGCGCTGGCGAGTCAGTTACACTAGAAATGTAGAGTTTGCTTGAAAAATAATGTTTATCTGGCCCCAGCACTTCCACAGTCGATCAATTTTAATTTTTTTGTTTGGTCTTCATAATTCCAAGGCTGCTGCGTCTATAATGATGTTTTGAACATTCATTGACAAGTTGAAACTAAAACCTTTAAGTGTGTTTTAATCGTTGTTTTCTCGTACGTTCACACGTTCGTCAGGAGACGTTCGTGCAGCCGCAGTCGTTCAGAATCATAAAGTTCAGTTCCAGTTTTACGTTTGTTCGTTCTGTTTGTGATGATGTCATTGTGCTTACAGGCCCCGCCCACGGTCAGCGTCGCCATGGACACGGTCTCCGTTTCAATCGCTCCGGCAACCGTCTCCATCGCCCCGGCAACCGTCTCCATGGCCGTGCCCCCCCAGCCCATCCAGGCGGCCGTGGTGGTGGTGGGCTCCGTCGACCAGGTCCCCGTTTTTATTTGGACTGTGGTTTGTGTTTGTCCTTTGAATATTCATGACTTTTGTCTCTCCTCCCTCTGCAGTCCGTGGCCCCGCCCCCCTCGGCGCCGCCCATCCGTCCGGAAGAACCACGCGTGCGAGGCGTGCGGGAAGGCGTTTCGCGACGTGTACCACCTGAACCGGCACCGTCTGTCGCACTCGGACGAGAAGCCGTACTCGTGCCCGATCTGCCAACAGCGATTCAAACGCAAAGACCGAATGAGTTACCACGTCCGCTCGCACCAGGGCGGCGTCGAGAAGCCCTACGTGTGCCCGCACTGCGCCAAGGCCTTCTCACGGTGAACACAACACACAGAACCAGAACCAGAACCAGAACCACAGAACCAGAACCACACAACCACAGAACCAGAACCAGAACCACAGAACCACAGAACCAGAACCACAGAACCACAGAACCAGAACCACAGAACCAGAACCACACAACCACAGAACCAGAACCAGAACCACAGAACCACAGAACCAGAACAGAACCACAGAACCACAGAACCACAGAACCACAGAACCAGAACCACACAACCACACAACCACAGAACCACAGAACCAGAACCACCTCATGCATGGAGAAGCCCTACGTGTGCCCACACTGCACCAAGGCCTTCTCACAGTGAACACAACACACAGAACCACAGAACCAGAACCACAGAACCAGAACCACACAACCACAGAACCAGAACCACAGAACAAGAATCACACAACCACAGAACCACAGAACAGAACACACCCACAGAACCAGAACCACAGAACAAGAACCACACAACCACAGAACCACAGAACCACAGAACAAGAATCACACAACCACACAACCAGAACCAGAACCACACAACCACACAACCACAGAACCAGAACCAGAACCACAGAACCAGAACCACACAACCACAGAACCACAGAACCAGAACCAGAACAGAACCACAGAACAGAACCACACAACCACAGAACCACAGAACCAGAACCACAGAACCAAAGAATCACACAACCACAGAACCACAGAACCAGAACCAGAACCACCTCATACATGGAGAAGCCCTACGTGTGCCCACACTGCGCCAAGGCCTTCTCACGGTGAACACAACACACAGAACCAGGACCAGAACCAGAACCCTTGTCCAGATCCCGTCACATGACTCTCCGCTCTGTTCGTCGACGTCCTGAAGAGTCAAATCTTTATTTTTGTGTTTTTATCCTCGAGTTAAAAATGTTTTATTTGATTTAAATGTTTAAATGTTTGTGTTTCAGGCCCGATCATCTGAACAGCCACGTGAGGCAGGTGCACTCCACAGAGAGACCCTTCAAATGCACCGTACGTACACCTGTCTGCACCTGTCTGCACCTGTCTACACTGTCTGCACCTGTCTACACCTGTCTGCACCCTGTCTGTCACCTGTCTGTCTGTCACCTGTCTGCTGTCTGCACCTGTCTGCTCCTGTCTGCACCTGTCTGCACACCTGTCTGTCTGCACCTGTCTGTCTGCCTGTCTGACACCTGTCTGCACACCTGTCTGTCTGCTACCTGTCTGCACCTGTCTACCTGTCTGCACCTGTCTGCACACCTGTCTGCTCTGTCACACCTGTCTGCTGTCTGCACCTGTCTGCACCTGTCTACACCTGTCTGCACCTGTCTACCTGTCTGCACCTGTCTGCTGTCCTGTCTGCTCTGCACCTGTCTGCTCCTGTCTACCTGTCTGCACCTGTCTGCTCCTGTCTGCTCCTGTCTGTCTACCTGTCTGCTCCTGTCTGTCTGCACCTGTCTGTCTGCTCCTGTCCTGTCTGCTGTCTGTCTCTGTCTCTGTCTGTCTGCTGTCTGTCTGCACCTGTCTGCACCTGTCTGCTGTCTGCTGTC